ATATTTTGTTTTTGGTGTATTTTGTTTTGTTTTTAGTGCATTTTATTTTGTTTTTCGTGTATTTTGTTTGGAAGTCGGTTTTGTTTTTTTTGTACACCGGCTTTTATTACGGCAGCAACCGCAGGAAATTATAAAAACTTTGTTTTTATATTAATAGGTAGCAAACGAGCAAGCGACCACCTGAATCCACCGAAATGAAAAGGGAACGTTGCCCATAAACAACCGATATTACAGATGCGTTGCCTACCCTTCATTGATGGAGGAGGAGACGTACATAAACAGGACATTTCCTCTTCCTATGTGTCTGCTCCACCGTCAAACCACTTTTCCTTCCAACACTTTCCTCTAACGAAAAGGGTGGAAAGGGTAAGGGCCTAAAATTAGGCCTCCGGCACCACACTCATCGGACGAAACGCGAAATTGCTTCCACTTCACGCCTGTGTGTGGTTGTGGTATTACACGGGGCGAGCCGGTCCATTGCTGCGAAGATGTTAAAGCGGGCTCTACCACTCTTAAACATGCATTTGTCAAATTCTCAATTGCAAATCAAAATTACCATTACCATAATAACCTTGCTTCCTTAATGTGGGTAGCTTGTAGTTTATACTCTTCGACATGAAGGTTGTTTTTTTTTTTATTTAATTTACCCTCTAAGTTTAATAGCGTGAAAATATATAGCTTAAAGGGTGTCGTAAGTGTAGGGATTTTTATTAAAGAAAGAATTATTCAAAAATATGCTGTGATTCCTACGCCACAAAGTAGTGTGTTTACGCTTTATTATATTAGTATAGCTTAATGTAATCAAACACAGTTCTTTTGCTAATTCCATGTATTATACCAATCAATGTTTAAATAGTACAAAATTTAGGCTTTTCCTGTTTTCCTCCTCGCTTTTATTGTTAATATTAACTATTTATTCTCTCTCCATATCTTTAACAATCTTCTTCAGCACGGCTCTATTCACTTTGGAAGTCGAAGTCAAAGGAAGTTGTTTCATGAAAATAACTCCTCCTCTCAGTTGTTTGGTATCCGTTAGTGATTCTGAAAAAACGTAGACATTTAGTTTAATTGAATTTACGAAATACTAGCTATCGTTCGCGACGCCGTTCGCGTGGAATTAAAAAAAAATAAAAGTGACTAGCCTTTGTGTCCTTCCAAACTATCCTCTACATCCATACCAAATTTCATTGAAATCCGTTCAGCTGTTTAGGCTACAAACACTAACATCCATCTATCTAAACTTTCGCATTTATAATATTAGTATAAAAAATATGATTAAGAGCGTAACACCTGGAACTAAACTATCGCACAACTGTTTAGTCTCGCTTTGATTCCTATCTTATACAGAGGTGCGCACACTACTGTTCAGTTGTGCAACTAAACAGTTTAGGCTGCGAAACAATCGACAATCGCACAACCGTTGTGCGACAGTTGAATCAAATGCGTCCGCTCTTAGTAATAGCACTTTGCACTTGCTATCATATCGATCTTGAATCTAAGTTAAATTTAAGCTAAGTTCACGTGGAAAAATCTATACTATTATAATAAAGCGTAAACACACACTTCTTTGTTGCCAGCATATTTTTGAATAATTCTTTTTTTAATAAAAAGCCCTACACTTACGTCACGCTTTAGGCTATATATTTTCACATCATTAAACTTTGGGCGTAAATATTTTAGATAAAAATCCTAATGTGGGAAAGAGACCATAAGTTGCTGCCAACACCAAGGAAGCAATTGTCATTTGTACATTTTGACATTTCGTGCGGATGAAGCCGAACTGGAACAGCTAGTATCTTGAACTATACCTTTAACTAAATCTTTTATCTCCTGTGCGGATAGTGTGCAGTTTGTTTGAGGTACAACGCATGCGACGGCCAGGTCCCCGCATTCCTCGTCCGGGATCCCTGTCACTGCCACGTCCAGGACTCCTGGATGCTTGATGATGACCGATTCTACTTCTGTAGGAGATATCTGGAATAAATATTCTATTTAAAAAAATATATTACCGTTGATGATTATATTTTTGTATTTTGTTAAAGATAAGGATTATAAAATTATTTGAATCTAGTTGTGGTTCGCGACTTCGTCCACGTGAAATTTAAAAATATAGCCTATGTTACTTAAATAACATAGCTTTTTATTGATGAAATAATTTTTAGTATTGGGTCAGTCTTTGATGAGTTATTTCAATAAATACAAAAATACAGATCTTTCCTCTATTTGTTAGTATAGATATAAAGATTACTTGATGATTGCGATATTTGAGAAGCATCTTTAAACGATCGACAAAGAAATAATTCCAGTTTTCGTCTCTATAGAAAAGGTCTCCGGATTTTATCCATTTGTCTTCCATAAATGTTTCTGCTGTTGCTACAGGATTGTTGTAATATCCCTGAAAAATAAACATAGGTATTTATTACTACCAATTTTAAATAATAATAGAAAAAGGTTTACTGTAGACAATAGGAATCAACAATATAACTTTATAATTGCTATTAAACATGAAAGGACAATAATTTCTTTCTCTTAAGATTTATGACAACTAATTGCGACTCCGTCTGCGTGGAATTAAAAAAAGTAGTCTACGTATTCATCCAGAATGCCCTCTATATCTGTCAAATTTTATCGAGATCTGTTCAGCTGTTTGGTTGCAAACTTCAACAAACACCCAAAGCAAACTTTTGCAATTATAATATTAGTAAGATAGGCTTACTTTGAACGTGACAGGTCCTTTCACCCAAAGTTCTCCCGTTTTATTCGGTATCAATATATCTTCTTGAGTGTCCGGATCGATTAACTGTTACAATAAATTTAATTATTTAAAATGTTATGAATGAAATTCAATTAATTAAAACCAAAGAAATCTTTATTTCATCACATTTTTACATACTCTGTAATGAAGGTATCCCAAAGGCCTGCCCACTGAGCCCGGAGCTGATGAAATAAAATTAAAAGCAAAACTTCCTATTTCACTAAAACCATATACCACGTAAACCTCAGCTTTAGTTGCAATTTTCTGGAAATAAAGAAAACTATACTTATACCTACAGCTATAAGAGTTAATTTACAATAGCAAAAATTGTACCTGCATATTTTGGAACAGAGTTTGTGAAACGGCACTACCACCGAGCAGTAATGCTTTGAAACAGGTGAAGTCGCATTTGTCACATTCTTCAGGCTTCGTTAGCGTAGTTGCCATTGGGGGACTAAATATCCCATATTTGGGCTGCAAAATTTGTTGACAATCAGTACCGGTGTTAGAGTAGGGCAAGATGTGAAAGCCGGCGCAGAACATAAAAGGGGGTTTAAGGATTATTCCCAACCGTCACCCCGCTCTCCCATGTGGCGACAGATGAGAATAAAAAGTTTCATCCCTTTCACCTTTAGCGACGAGGGGACGGTTGGACTTATTTTATTTCTTAACGTTCCATCTGTCAACTTATTGGTGATAGTGGGACTAAAAGGTGGGACGGATGAAAATTTTTACTCTTATCTGTTGCAACGTGGGGACAGCGTGGGGTGACGGTTGGGAATAATCGGCGCTTTAGGAGCATCAGTGAGCGCCACGGGCGCATTTTTACATATGATTGTGTTACAGTTAGGAGGCGCTGTAATCTCATCCAGGGCGCCGGTAATGGTAAAACCGTTATTAAAACTATCATACAACTGTTTAGTCTAGTTGTGCCTCTTGTGCTTATAAGGAAGTGCGCACACGACTCAATTTTAAGTTATGCAACTAAACATTTGAAGCTGGAAAACAATCGACAATCGTACTCGGTTCTGCGATAGTTTAGTCAAAGGTGTATGCTTGATATAAACATGAATTACTAAGACACACTATCAATTATTACCTTGTATTTGTTAATCAAGAAATACGCATGTTCCCTTGTGGAAGGCAATGAGGATTGTATTCGAGTGAATCTTAAAATTGGCGACAAAACTAACATGAACACCGCCGACAGCCATTGTACGGGAGACGTTACTAAAGCACTTTCATACGGCGTTGGAAACGTAGAACTCATTATCCTAAAATCATATAAAGTTACACAAAACTACTATAATAAATATACAGACGAATTGAGTACCTATTTCTTTTGGGAAGTCGGTCAACAAAGTCGCTTCCCGCAGTATGCTTAGATCTTTCAAACTACACAACAGGTTTTGATGCACTTTTTTACCAACTTCCGAAAAGAAGGAGGTACCTACTCAATTCGTCTGTATGTGTTTTTAATAGATAGAGTGATTCAAGATGAATATTTATATGCATAATACATCTATACTAATAATATAAAGAAGAAAGATATGTTTGAATTTTTGTATGTATTGAAATAACTCATAAACAACTGGTCCGATTTTAAAAATTCTTCCACCTTGAATAGCTACGTTATCGCTAAGTAACATAGGCTATTATATTAGTTATTATTTTAATTCCACGTGAACGAAGTCGCGGCAAACAGCTAGTATACAATAAAGTAGAGAAATACTGTGAATTTTAGATATTTGTAATGTGATGTCTAAATAAGTACATTTTCATATGAGCATTGGACCCGTGCGAAGTAAGTCGCTTAAATAATTCCGTGTCTGTGAAGAATCCTAGGGAATGTATACTTTACCACAGATAAGGGAATCCCATAATAATATTTGTATGAGTTAATGTGGCATATTTAGGTGCTCCTGTTGTACCGCTTGTTGCAAGCAACCAACAGGAACTCTTCTCTGGATCAAGATCTACAGCTCTGAAAGTTTTTTAAACTTTACAATTTAACAATCTTACTAATATTATATTATAAATGCGAAAGTTTGGATGGATGGATGGATGTTTGTTAGCGTTTGTGGCCTAAACGGCTGAACGGATCTCCATGAAATTTAGCACAGGTTTAGAGCATAGTCTGGAAGAACACATAGGCTACTTTTCATCCCGGGAATAGTTACGGTTCCCGTGGGATTCATTGATTTAGTTTTTTAATGTTTACTCGATTATTCTGCAACGGTTCAACATATCTTATTGAAATTTGGCACAGATATAAAACAAAGTCTGGAGTACACATGAGATAAGCTTTTTCCCTGAGAAATGTCCGGTTCCCGAGGGATAGTTTGTATGTTTTCTAATACCACGCGGACGAAGTCGCAGGCAACAGCTCGTTCTTAATCAAGCAAAACTTAAATATAGAGCGTGCGTACACTTGAAACTAAACTATCGCACAACTCTTTAGTTTCGCTTTGGTTCCTACGAACTTATATGGAGATGCTCACACAAAACTTTTAGTTGTACAACTAAGCAGTTGAGGCTGCGAAATAATCGACAAATTAAAATCGTAGAACAGTTATGCGACAGTTTACTCAAAGGTGTGCGCACGCTCTTACTACAACAGATTTAATTTAGGCATATTTTTGGGTACATACTTGAATTCTTCCGCTGGTAAACCTTTACCGTATTCTGCGATGAATTCAGAAAAACCGGTATGTTTCTCTTCAGTGTTTAATGTAACAATTTTAGCATCTAACTTAATATTGCTCAATGCTTCTGCGACGTCTCCGGCTTTTTCACTTGCACAAAATATTACTTTAGGTGATGTAGTCGTAAAAGTATCTTCAAGTTCCTCTGAAATTGAATTTCGTTTCTTATTCACGATTATTGGATAACTCATTGGAATTTAAAAAAAATATCTCATTGGAATTTAAAATAAATGGAACTTAATTAAAAAATTTAAAACTTATTTATTTTTTTATCTCATTATGTGGCCAGTACGATCTTATGGCAAAAGTTAAACTCCTCTACCAAAGAGGTCGTAATACAAGTGACGAGAGTACTTACTGATTCCAACTGTCATATCAACACCGGCAACAATTATCCCTAAATATAGTGCAGCATATGCAGATATGGCCAGGTCGTTGTAGTTGGGTGCCATTAAGACAATGACGTCATCGGGTTTCAATCCTATCGCTCGGAAAGCATTCGCGCAAGCGACTGATCTCTGAAGTGCATCTTGGAATGTGTCGGATTTACCGGTACCACCGTCGATCTAGACAATCGTAAGAGCGGGCGCACCTTTAACTAAACTATCGCACCACGGTTGTGCGATTGTCGATTGTTTTGCGGTAGATTCAACTGTTTAGTTGCTGAACTAAAAATCGAATAGTGTGCGCACCTCCATACAAGCTTAACGGCGCGAAATAATTGATACTTTTTGGACGGTTAAAGTTACTGGCCATTAATAATTTTGAGTACTGGCTGAATATGCATCATGCATGTATATGTCAAGCGACGATCTATTGGCTGATGGCAGTTGTCATAGAATTGTGGATTGCTTTTTTAATCATAAAATCAACTGATTAATATAGAGTTTAATATATACTCTATAGTTTGCAATCCGATTAGATTGTTGTGCGGTTTTTATTTAAGGTGGTCTACTAAAGATAGTGTTTCTAATGTTACGCGATTGTTTTGTTATCTCCGACATAAGCACGCCCACAATGGAGGATATTTACCGTGTTATTGACCAGCCTTCGGAATTTAGTTCTACAAACCGCTGGTAACTCCGACATAGTAATCAAAGCGCGACTAAACAGTTTTGCGATAGTTTAGATACATGTGTGCGCGCGCTCTTAAGGTAATTTGATTATTATTTGACTTAGCATTACTGTGTTATTTTACCTGCATAATAAAGTCGGGTGCATCTTTAAAACTTTGCAGAATGAGTTTGCCGAGATGATGTCTGTCTGAGGGTATACCAGTGTTAGCGACCACTCGACTCCCCAAGTCGTTTAGATACCAAAATACAGAATCACTGGCATGTTTGTGATACTTCATTGTCCTAAAATATATTTAAAACTTCAAACAACTGTGATATCACTCTATTCCTATGTTTTCCATTTTTTTATACAACTAGATGGCAAACGAGGAAACGGCCATCTGAATCCGCCGAAATGGCGAAGCGACAGCCGCCCATAGACTTCCGCAATTGCTGATGCGTTGCCTACCCTTAGTTGAGGGACGAAGAGACGCACATAAACAGGATAATTCCCCTTCCTGTGCGTCCCCTCCGGCTTCAAATCCACTTTTCCTTTCCATCCATTCCTCTTAAGAAAAGGGTGGAAAGGAAAAGGGAAATTAGGCTTCCGGCACCACACTCAACAGACGAAACGCTCCCACTTCACGCTTGTAACTTTAATGTTTAGGGTTTTTATGTTTGTGGCTCCCCCAGGAACTTATTTTTTTTTGCTGAAGGGGAATGCGTTACGCATACTCCGTGCCTCGGGGCAGACACGAGAGTTATGTAGGACTCTCCCCCATATTGAGGGGCATACCTAACTAAACCCCTCCGTTCCTCCTGGCCATTGTGTGGGGCGCCACGGGATCGCTTTCGCTTGCCACCGCGATGCCCCACGGCCCGCCCCTTGGAAGAAATGCCATAAGCATATACGATGTTCATGTCGATCAAAATTTTTGAAAATAAATTCATAGGATTCATGTTCATATCTCCGTAGTAACAAAATTATGAATTATCTAGGCCCATTGCGTTTAATTTGAAAGATAAAAATAGTTATCTCTTGTTTGCCGACGCGAGCTCGTTTATCTACAGAATGTTACTAGGTATGTAAGTCATTTGTTGAGATCTTATGGCCGGTTTCCAGCTACTTAACAATGCGTTAGTGTTTTTGGTTCGATATATTTATGAAATGCGTTTCCGAACTACGTAACTTGAGTTTTTTAAGTTAAAATATAGGTCAACTTAACACTAATAAATCAAATTATACATGCGAAAGTTTAGATGGATGGATGGATGTTTGTTTGTTGCCTTCACGGCTGAACGATTTTGATGAAATTTGGTATACATGTAGAGGATAGTCTGAAAGAACACTGGCTATTCACTTTTGTTACTTTTTATTCCACACGGATAGAGTCGCGAGCGAAAGCTAGTATCAAAATAATTGGAAACTCCAGAAACCCAACATTATAATTTTAGTACCTTTTAGTTTATTTTATTATATTTAGTTTGTTATGCTTTAGCACAAGTCTCCGCACAAGTTGGTATCTGTTTTTTGTTGGATTTATTGTGATTTTACGCAAATCAATTACGATAATGGCAATCAATATTGGCTGTCAATTTGTTAATTATCATTAACAAATACTTTGTAAATAATGACTTTTGATATTCCTACGAATAAATGAATATTGTAAATTAATCATTTCATAGATTTCCTTATCCCCAAAAGAAGAAAAAACGGTTAAAACAAAGACCGACATCTACCGAAGGCTCGTAAAACATAAATAAACAAGGCAAATTAAAAACAATCAAATTTATATCCTTTTTGTTACACTAAATGGCACTTTGTTTCGTAAATAGCTAATAAACACGGAATAGAATAATATAAATTAAACACAAAACGCAACATTTAATATTAAAGCAAAACATACGTACGTGAAATAAATTGCGTCGTATATTTCTCGACCAGTGTATCTGTTCGGCTCTCCGCGGACAACTGGCTGCAGTTATGAATGCTCAGATTTGATCTATCAACGAGTGTACCTTGATATTTTCATTAATCTATACTTAATATAAAGAGGAAAGATTTGTTGTTTGTACGTATTATAATCATATATAATATATAAATTATAAATGCGGAAGTTTAGATGGATGGATGTTTGCTAGAGTTTGTAGCCTAAACGGCTGAACGGATTTCGATTAAAATTGGTACAAATGTAGAGCATAGTCTGGAAGAACACATAGACTATTCACTTTAGTTTTTTTTTTAATTCCACGCGGATGGAGTCGCGGAAGGCTAGTAACTAATAATTCAATTCTTTAAAATCTACATTATTACCGAATAATGCTGCTACTGCTCGTACCTTCGTTGCGTGCGGAATTAAATTTGCTTAAAATAAATTTATATATATATATATATNNATATATATATATATATATATGTATTTTATAATATATAAAATATAATATATGTAATTCCGCACGCAACGAATTTACGAGCAGCCGCTAATGGTTGATAATATAATTATTATAAGAATAAAATCTTAATTCGGTTGGTTGACTTTTTGTAAAGATAACAAGACTAACAATATCAAGGCTTGGCGCAATTACATAACTTTATACACACGGTAATACATATAAGACGCGCACACCTTCGACTGAACTATCGCACAACTGTTTAGTCGCACTTTGATTCCTATAAGTTTATATGGAGATGTGCACACTACTCGATGTTTAGTTGTGCAACTAATTGTTGAACCATCGACAATCGCACAACGGTTGTAAGATAGTTTAGTCGATGTGCGCCCGCTCTAATACTCCACTATTATTTTTAAAATAGTATTGACTGCCAGTGACAGTAACAGTGGTAGAGCCCGATTTAACATCTTCGTACGAATGCCCCGGCTCGCCCCCAGTAATACCACGACCACAAAGAAAACAGGCGTGAAGTGGAAGCAATTCCGCGTTTCGTCTGATGAGTGTGATGCCGGAGGCCTAATTTTAGTCCCTTTCCCTTTCCACCCTTTTCTTAAGAGGAAAGGATGGGAAGGAAAAGTTGATTTGACGGTGGAGGAGACGCATATGAAGAGGAAATGTCCTCTTTATGTGCGTATCCTCCCCCGTCAATGAAGGGTCGACAACGCATCTGCATTTGCGGATGTCTATGGGCATCAGTCGCTTTCCATTTCGGTGGATTCATGTGGCCACTTGCTCGTTTGCCACCTTATATTAACTAAAAAAAAGTGAGTTTATTGAGGTCAAATAGTAAAACCATTTTTTATTTTTTCGAGAAAGAAATATAGTATTAATGATTTTGTATTATTTTTATTTACTTAAAATATTGGCTTTTTTACGTTATGGATAATATTTCTTTTTACAGTTTTGTTTTCATTTTACTTCTACTGTTTATTCTCTTTTCATAGTTTTCGCCATATTCTTCAGCATAGTTCTGTTCACTTTCGAAGTCGAAGTCAAAGGTAGTTCTTTTAAGAATATAACTCCTCCTCTCAACTGTTTCGTCTCCGCCAGAGATTCTGGAAAAGATATTTTTTTAATTAACTTCCAAACGTTTTAAAACTTACTTTTATGGTTGTTAAATGTAATTTTCGTATGTTAGATTTTCTTGTGAACTGTTTTAAATAGTATTCTACTGTAGCACTAGCATTATTTTTTTTCTCTCATTCTTGAAACAATTTTCAACAAATATCAGGGTCAAGTTAAAGCATGCTTAGATGCCTATAATAAGATACCTTTTACAAGATCTTTAATCTCCTGTGCGGAAATTGTTGTATTGTGTTGCGGCACGACGAATGCAACGGCCAGGTCTCCACATTCAACATCCGGGATTCCTGTAACCGCCACGTCCAACACACCTGGATGCTTGATGATAACTGATTCTAACTCCGTAGGTGATATCTGGAAACGACTTCTTTCTGTATATTTGTATTTAGACTATTTACGACTATACGTGAAACTCTATAAATTAACAACTGAACAGATTATCTAATATACTAATGTAATAAAGTGTAAACACACTACTTCGTCACGTAGGATGTCAGCAATCACAGCATATTTTTGAATAATACTTTCTTTAACAAAAAGCCCTACACTTACGACACGCTTAAGGCTATACATTTTCACAATATTAAACTTAGGGAGTTAAATAAATTGGAAAAAACCTTTATGTGGGAAAGCTACCATAAACATTTAGGAAGCAAGGTTATAAGGGTAACGGTAATTTTGACATTTTCAATTGGGAATTTGACAAATGTAAACAAAAAAATAAAATTTTTATTATTTCCTGGGATGAAGCCGCACGGGACCAACTATTGTTTGAATAAAGATAGGAGACGAGTTAGAAATAATTATTACGTGGTGATTGCGATATTTGAGTAGCATCTTCAGACGATCGACGTAAAAGAAGTTCCAGTGCTCGTCCCTGTACATAAGGTCTCCTGTTTTAATCCATCCATCTTCAGTGTACACTTCTTCTGTAGCTTGTGGATTATTAAAATAACCCTGAAAAATACAAATATAACAACAAAACATTCTCTTATGATTACGTCTACGTAAAGTTACAGTTACTTAATACGTTGAATACCTTAAAAGTTGCAGGTCCTTTAAGCCAAAGTTCGCCAGTTATATTTGGTTCCAAGATATCTTTTTGCGTTTCTGGATCAACTAACTGAAATACATTAGTAATTTGTCTTAATGGATGAATTGCATTTACCAAGAAGTAGGTGTTAAATTGTGGTAGAGCCAGCTTTAACATTTTCGCACGAATGAGTCAGCTCGCCCCCAGTAAATCCACTACCACACAGAAAACAGGCGTGAAGTTGAAGCAATTCCGCGTTTCGTTTGATGAATGTGGTGCCGCACATTGGGCTGTATCCAGTTGCTCTATAGACAACTTTATCTGATGTTTGAAATGTCTCTTTTTTTGCTTGAATGTGCTTTGTATCAGTAAATGCATACCTTATAACGCAATATTTATCTTGTATCGATGTTTTTGGCGCAATTAGAACGTTTTCTCTGAAAATTTGTATGGAGTCGCCCTCAAAATTGGCGATAACTCAGCGATCGCACAATTGCGCCTTATTTTCTCTGAGATTACTTTTGTACAACTTGTAACGATTTTTTTGGTATACTATTGGACACAGGCACGGGTGCGATTTTTGACTTATTCAAGGTCAAAGGTCACAAAAACTACTTTTTCGCATATTTCAGCGGAATGGTTAGCTGTATCAAAAAGTTGACTAGGATGAAGTTGTAGATTATGAAATTGCCTATAAAATATCCATACATACTTTTTTCATAAGTGCCATAGTTTCAGAGATATAGCCATTTGCACATCCAAATTGTTCCGATTAACATACCCGATACTTTAATAACTAATAA